CGTGGGGGAGGGATTGTCGCCCCCAGGGACACCTGGGGTGGAGTGTCCGCCCGTCCCGCGCCGCTGGCGAGACGCGGGGAGCAACAGGTCGGGCCAGGAGGAGCCAGAGGGGGTGGAGGAGGCCCCGGCTTTGCCTTGGCCGCGCAGCGTAACCCTGGGCAGCCCCGAAACCCGAGCGTGGAGGCTGCTCTGCAGTTAAAAGCCCTGTGTTACGGCTGCAGTTACACACGAATATTTGGCTTTGCTGCACAGGGAAGTAATGAAAGTGTGTCAGTGTAAGAAGAGTGTTTGTCAACAGTGGAGTTTTTAACTTTGGTAATAAACTGGAGGTCATCTTATGAGTAGGTGTTAAATAGAGAATAGTTTCTAATTTCCATAGGGAAAGTTTGAATGGCGTTAGGCTTTCCACTCCGACAGACCTTGAGACAAACTCTAGTGAAGGAAAAGGATCCACGTGTCTTTTTTTTTTTAAAGCTACTTAATATATTGTAAAGGTATGGCAGTACGTGATCAGCAAAAAGTCCTCTTGGCTTTGCTGTAAAAGCTGCGTGTGGCTGCATGTCACTGTCTTTTGATGACTGTCAGAGGATGATTTTTATTTTTTTTCCCCACTTCCACTTATTTTTCTGAAGGAATGTCAAGGATAAAATTTGATTTCGAGCAATATACAGCAACACAAATATGTCTTGATAAAACTTTTTGAAACTACTTATACAAAAATTGCTGGGGAGGTGCCTGGGAGCTTGAAGAATTACATATCCCCGACTTGAATTGTTTTTTACGAGTGTGTTTCAAAGCCTGAAGGACACGTGCCATTGAATTTGATAGCCTTTGAAAGTCAGAAGGGTATTGCTTGGCTTACATGTTTACTTCAGCATGAAATAATGTAGTCAGCCAAGCAGAGTGAGTGAAAACTGGTGGAAGCACACACAAAAACAAGCTGCATGTGGTGTTTCATAGATACAAAACCTGTTCTAGCACACTCAGTTCAGGGAGACCTTACCAGGTACATAATCCTTCATTGCGATTCTCTTGCTCAAGGTCTTCTAGGTTTAGGTCTGCGAAAGCAAAAAGGTTACTAATGTTTTGCTGTATTGGCTCCGTGTTCTGATTATTGCTACAGTTATTCTAGCTTTCTCAGTGGAAACTGAAAAATTGTTTTAAATAGAGGAACAGCATCTAATAAAAAGGAACTTCGCTTCCAGTAGTAAGCTGTAAAGTCATTCTGTGCACTTCCCTCTGCATCCTAGCCTGTCTTTTTCCTAGACTTGTGGTTATTTTTTCAAAAGAAAGAGGGAACTTGGCAAGTTTTAATGCAGAATACTGTCATATGACGAGTGCATGTGTATCTAATATTAGATATTTAACAATTATATAATCATCTGATAAAAATATTAATGTAAACCCCCTACATTGTTAATGTTTGCAGAGCAATAACAGGCAAAAATCTAAAGACTGTTTTTAACCTTGTTTGTTTGCGAGCTTTGGCTGGCAGAATCATTACCTAGTGTTAAATACTGGGATTTTTGTTACAGCCAACAAATGCATACTCCAAGTCATTAAAGCTTCTAAATATATGTACTCAATTCTTGAAAAGTAATTGGCTTCTGTTTGGGACAAGTTCTTGTCCTATTTCAGGCGTGTATATATTGTGACTTTCTTCTGTGTGTGACTTTTCTTGTCTATTTCAGAAATGAGGGTTCATTAACATCAACTTTAAGAACACTTCTATTCTTCACAGCTCTAATGATTACATTACCTGTTGGGCTGTATTTTTCATCAAAGGCTTATATATTTGAAGGTAATTCTGTTTCTGCCAATTAGCGTTACTATTACAAAAAAGAGGAGAAGCACAATTTTCTAGTAGCATCTTTGTTCTCCGTCCTGTTTGGAATATATGTTTCCTTATGTAGACTAAAGGCCTTGTAATGTCTGATTAGGAGAGAAAATTACATGAATGGTCGATGCATCTTTCCCTGCACTGTGGTCTGCAATCTGCTGTTTGCTGTCTGTTTTACAATGATTTGTACAGGTGCATCATTCCCCTTGCCTAAAGGGTATCTAACACCACCCTGCAGTAGACTTTAATCAGAATCATCAGGGATATGTTTCCTGCAGGTGTTGCAAACTAATTGTGTATTCAAGGCAGAACAGTGTTGTTTGCTGGGTTTGTGCTTTCTTTTTAAAACATACCCACGTTTGTAAGCGTAAACCAGTTAAGTTGTGTACCTGGTTTCAGATATTTAATGTAGTTGCTTGTAGAGCTTTCTTTTAATTTTAAAAATAAAAAGAAAAGAGAGATTTTAAGATATTTTAGCTGTTTGTTTGGAGCAGTTCTGTCCAAACTGCTGACAACTAGCCATGTTCTTGATTCTGCAAGACTTTAATAACTTGCTACTTTTCTCCTGCAGTAGTATCTCCTTCAAAAGCGGGGAGGAGGGAAGGAGAAAGCAGCTGCTTTTAAAAGCAGTTTGTGAATGTATAATTGAGTTGATCCAAGATGATTCTCCTTTGGTGGGTACTGCTGGATGTAGTTCTGCAGGATGAAGCGGAAAGCTTGTTAAGTAACTTTCAAGATCCTTTTTAGCATGTTTTTTTGATGTTTTTTTTTACCTGAGGGGTAGCAAGCTGAGCCTTAACTTTGCTGTGTCAGTTAATGGCAAAGTCTGTCAGCACTGATAGGATTGGGTTCTGTTTGGAGGATGATATTTTGGTGTATTTTATCGTTTTTTTGGTTTTGTTTCTTTTAAATGAATTAAGAAAAATTATATTTTAGTGTTTGGTCTTCTGGTATTTGAAGGCTTATTTCATGTGAGATGCATTCATGTATCTTAACTGGTGAGGAATTACCATTTTATGGTCTAAATATAGAAGGTAGAAGTCCTCTAAATTTAGTTGTTGTTCTACCATTTTATCCTGTTATAGTGGCAAATAAATTATATTATTATCCCCACCACTTTCCTGCCCCACAAAGACGGTTACACTTACAAAGAATTTGGTGCTGGAAGATAGTAATGGAATAAGTGAATGTTATAGAACTCTAAGCTGTTGACTTCAAAACCAGGGTATTTTATCTTAAATATTGAATAATTGCAGTGTTGCTTTGTTCCAGAAACAGTTTCACAGTCTGCAATTATCATGGTGAATTTTTTCCTGGGAATCTTTCTGAGCTCAGCCTTTTGATACAGGAATAAATGTGACTTCGGTCTTTAGGAAGAATTGTGATTTGCCATTTCAGTGTTCTGAATAACTAATATTCTTTCTTTATTTTCTCAGGTACCTTAGGAATGTCCGACAGAGACAGCTATTTTTATGCTGCCATAGTTGCTGTAGTTACTGTTCATGTGGTACTTGCGCTCTTCGTATATGTAGCGTGGAATGAGGGTTCCCGGCAGTGGCGGGAAGGCAAACAGGACTAGAACGAAGATCATCGTCATCTGATGCCTACAGACTGTAAATCAAATTTTTGTGAGCTGAAGGAAAAGCGTTCTTCCAAATGTATAATACACATATACAAAGATGAGGCTAATGCCTCACCTCTGGTTAGAATAAGACTTGTGCTCGTTTTGAATGTGTACCAGTGTTTTCTCTAACGCTGATGGAAGTTGTTCTTTAGCCTCTACTCAACTACTAGGTTGAGCTGAGGAGGTCTTCACCTGGAATTAGAATGAAATAATTATGTATTTTTTTAAAAAATCCTGTAGCTATATATGCCATTCCTAGTATTTTTGTGGCTTCCTCTGAAAATAATATTGGCATGAAGCAAGCATTGCATTTTTGAGTAATTAAATTGCTAGTTAAAAAAGCTACGTCACTCACTATCCAGCTACAGTGGAAAAGATGGAATTGCAGTGTGCCGTGGATATTTCCTGATTTATGGGTGTTGTGGTTTAATCCCAGCCAGCAACTAAGCCCCACACAGCTGCCTGCCTGCTCCCTCCCTTCCCACGGTGGGATGGGGGAGAGAATCGGGAGGGTAAAAGCGAGAAAACTTGTGGGTTGAGATAAAGGCAGTTGAATGGGTAAAGCAAAAGCTGCATGCACAAGCAAAGCAAAACAAGGGATTCTTTCACCACTTCCCACATAAATAATATATTTCTGAGTTTAGAAGTATTTTCAAAAATAGAATTGGTTAGAAACTCAGGTGGAGTCTTTCTAATGTGAAATACAAAGCTTTTTTGTGTTTTCTAATTTAATTTTTTATTATTGTGTAAAATTCAATTTTTAATTTCCCTTTGGGAGGAATTGTCGTATTACTGTGTTGCTCATCTTTCCAGTCTTCTACAGTTAATCTTGATGATGCAAAGGAAATGGCATAGCATATTTTTTTGTATGTCTTTACATAAATGTAATCTCCTGGATAATTGCTCAAGGATGTAGTTGGATTTCCTGTGTATAAAGTAGTATCAGTAACAGCTATAAGCCACTCTGATGGCTAGTAGGGAACAAGCAAGAGAAAACAAGCTGTAGCCATCTGCAAATGTTGTCCTTTATCAAGCAGAACACAAGAGTGAGCACATGGAAGATTTGCTTCTCTTCGTAAACATTAACTTGTACACTGTGAAATGATACGATATGTTGATTGTGGTTTTTTTCCCTTGGTTGTGTGTAGAAACTTTCTGTTGTGAAACCATGGTGAGATTTTTGTGTCGTAGGATAACCTGAATTTCATTTCAGTGCTGTGCTGTTATTAGCAAGCTTTGTAGTCGGTAGATAAAACATTTTTCCTAAGGTTCTGGCAATGCATAGAACTTCCCTAATGCTGCTGATTGCTGTTAAGCTGTTGTGCATGAGGTTGTTTTGTTGAGTTTTCCAGTTTGTTGTATTAGTTGAGCCTTTTTAGGAAGTGTTTTGCTTAATATAGGGCTTGGAATGGTTTTGGTGCTGCGTTTGGCCGTGGTAAAACTTAACCATAAATGAGACCCAAAATCAATTATCCATGCCCAGTGGCTTGAGGAATGTGTTCCCAGGTCTCATTCCTCTCATCTCCACCCTGGTCCCGGGTATGCACAAGCATATGCACCATGTCACACTGCTGGAAATCAACTTTTACATTTTGTTTCCGAAACGTTCACTTTTCTCATCCAGAAGCCCGTTGTTGGGTTGCTGCCAGCAAACTGGAGAAGTCTCGCAGTATCTGAAATACAGATTTAGTTTGTACATTGGCTTATTGGCTTCCTGTTCCCCAGTCTATGAGCTGTACGTGGTAGAACAAATACTGCCTTTTAATAAAAACCTACCCTGCAACACAGATCCAGTGAACGAGCACTTGTGCTGAACAGGTTTTGAATAAGCTTTTTAATACTGCTCACGTATAGCACAGCTTGCAACAAATAGATCAGCTATAGCACTGTTCAGTAGCGCTTTTTTATTATTTCGTTTATAGTGGAGAATAAATGGAAACATAGCTGTCATGCTTTACTAGCTGGGTCTTGTGCAATATCTATTTTATGTCTCACGTACCAGAATCTCTAGACACTAAGTTAACTTTCTAGGTATAACAGGGAAATAATTGCCTATTATAATTGTTTAGCTACAAAAATCTGAAAAGTTTTACCTGTGCAATAAGTATAGGCACTATAATGTCTCAGCAATTGGGGGTAATGAGCTGAACGTTAATCCATCCATTGTAAGACCTTTGCAGATAATGCTTTGATCCACAATGTTCTTCTTGAGAAAAGGGGCAACGCGTGAGTCTCTGCATAGTTAACAGCCACGTACTGGGCTTTCCGTTGCCTGTGCAACATAAAAGTTGAAGCAACCACTCAGGTAAATGGTGCAAGAAAACAGTCAAGCAGTGGAATTACACCACGGCTAGGGAGCTCAGAGAACAGAAACTGCAGCCATACGATGTAGAGCGTATGTGGAGTAGATACCCTACTGTGACTCCTGTTGTGCCTTACCAGTACTAACATTTATGGTATTTCAAGGGCTTTGTTGTGGTCTCTTTAGGTTTGAGTGTTTCCTTTCATGTATCTGATGTCGCTATTAATGTCAAAGCTAATTCTCATGGCCATTTTTTAATTGTTTAATGTCCATTGTAATTCTTTTAGAGTTCAAATCCTACTGTGCTGCAATGGGTTTGTGTGGCAAGGTTTTGGTAGCGGGGGGCTTACAGGGGTGGCTTCTGTGAGAAGCTGCCAGAAGCTTCCCCCATGTCCGACAGAGGCAATGCCAGCCGGCTGCAAGACAGACCCACCGCTGGCCAAGGCCGAGCCCATCAGCGATGGTGGTAGCGCCTCTGTGATGACGAATTTAAGAAGGAGGGAAAACTGCTGCACAACAGCAGCCGAAGAGAGGAGTGCGAAGATGTGAGAGCAACAGCTCTGCAGACACCAAG